TTTCATAACAAGGAGGTACAAAGTTTTGGCTTCACGTATTAATACCTACATAATGTACTTAGAAAACACCCAAATCTATACAAACAATCACACTCATGAATACAAATCTTTGCACCGTGTGAAGAATCGAACCCGCCACCATCGGATGTAAGGTGATGTTTTAAATCGCTAGACTATCGAGCCCGTCGTAACGTAAAAATGCTATAAAGCAAATTCGTTTTTTTAGTCTGCATATTTCTCTACTTACTTCTTAGAAACCTCGAAATGGATTTTAATGTAGTTTTCACTATGATTTCATAGATTGATCCTGGAATCAATAGATGTATAATACATGTGTATGTGTATATCATACACCCGCGTAGAGTCGAAGCGGGTCGCTAGCACAATATAAAACAGAATAATAATTATTCAAATCAAATTTATTTGCGATTAACATAAGTATAATGGTTATAATGGTAATAAATAAAATTGGATGGTCTGTTTGTAATGTTGAAATAGCTGTTTTTTTACTACATGCATATGAATATAAATACGGTACACCAAAATAATATTTTTTACTATTTTTGTCTGTCTATTTGTTCCGGTTAATCTCTGAAATGGTTGGACCGATTTTGACGGGACTTTTATTGGCAGGTAGATTATGTAATAAGGAGTAACTTAGGCTACTTTTATTTAAAAAAATAAAGTTACATTCCACGCAGACGAAGTCGCGGTTATAGTTAGTTGTAGAATATAATATCCATGTCATTATGCTTTGCCTCAATAGTCATGCAAAATTTTAAATTATTTAATATTTATTAATTAGTACAACACCGAAACTCGCTCTATGTAGGTCAACGACTTGAATTCGCGATCCTTCATCCAACAAACAGGTAACCAATTGTTAACTGAAGCGTCACATGCACGCACGTGGAACGTGTGTATTTACTTGTACTGTGCTCTATCTATGTATCTATCGCCTTGATAACGTCGATATAGATAAGAATGCTACTTATTTTAAACTATATTAAACTAGCTGTGCCCGCGACTGCGCATGGATTGACCTTGATGATATAAAGAAAAAATATTTCATAATCTAATTCAAAACAGCTAAACAAGAAAGTTTCATCGCTCTAGCTTCAGAAATCACGAAATACCACACATACTTTCATCTTCTACTTTGTTTTACCTCTATTAATTTTTTTACCAAGTTTATATATCATATTTATTTATATTTAATCAAAAGCCTAAAAAATAATTTTCAAGCTTCTCGCTTTAAAAGTGACGATACTTCCATACAATCTTTCGTCACCCCTATCAACCTCTTACAACCCTAAAATAGCATATATCCTCTTTCAGGATCTAGACTATCTGTGTACCAAATTTCGTTTAAATCGGTTCAGTAGTTTAGGCGTGAAAGCGCGACAGACAGACAGACATACTTACTTTCGCATTTATAATATTAGTAAGATACATAGAGTATGACGTCATACTCGTAGATGTGAGGAATGGTAGCACATGTTATACAGACGTCACAGTTTAAGTCTGTTTTATGGTGTTCCTAACTGTAGACTGATGGTAGATCTGTTAGTAGAGTAAGTAGTAGAGAATACATCTGGAATTAACCGTGATAGTTTCAAGGGTCGCGTGGAGGTGGGTCTAATAGCATACGTGGTAATAATAGGGTTACATTTCAATGAACACTGTAACAATGCTATGTAATTATTTTCTTACTATCAAAGGCACTTAATTCTGCCAATTTTTCTATTGCTAGTAACAGGACTACATTTTAATAGACACTATGAAATGGCATGTAATTGCTTTCATAGGCAATCAATCCTGCTAATTTTAAATTTTAAAACCTTTCTTTATTTTTTCCTTTTCGATTCCAATTTTCAACTCCGCTCTACTCTATTGTATTTAATTTGTAAATCTATTCTATCCCATGTTTAAATTCACAGCTAGGAACAAATATTTAGTGCGGAAACCTGACCATTACTACTGGAATCTTTACGAATTTCTCTATTCCCATCCAATTCGATAAAATAGATAGGAACAGTATGTGAAGTGAAAAATGGTGTTTCAATTTTTTCCGAGTAATGATTTCAATTTCTCCCTTCATAAGAAGTTTTAACCCTTTTAAAATTACGGTCAAAAATAGGAACTCATGGTCGCCAATTCTGTTCTATAAATACTGATATACTGAAGAAGTAATACTTGAAGTTGTTTATAACGATGACTCCTAAAATTCTTACAATGGTAGGTAAAACTGATGCTGAATAATACGGATTTGGTCTTTATACTACATAAAACTCTGAAACAGGAAACTACTTCTCAACATAATTACAATGTATATACACATACGTAACCACAGATTACTAGAGCTATTTATATTCTCGTAACAACTAGTGGGTATAAATAAACCTATTCATAAGTAGCCACCAACTATTGGGGTTATTTATGTATATAAACCCGCGAATTTCCTTAAGTGGTGTATAAGAGCGGTACACCCTCCATCAGTCCGTTTACCCATTTTGTTCCTATGCCATACCTTTTGATTTTAGTATTCTTGTGTCTAAGACCGTCAGAATAATGTCGATTAATCGTTAAGTTGCCCTAATGCGACACGAGTGTCAAGATATTGTATTTTTTTATTGAAGGTTTTGGGCTATTGTCAGGTGCTAAGACCTGTATCGCTGCTACCTGCACAGATCTATTGTCCTCGCTCTTTTTCAAAGTTTCTTACCTAACCCGTCAGGGACTAGAAATGAAGGATATTCTTAGAAGCGATGGTTTGTATCTCCTCAGGATACTTTCCAAAGGAGATCGTTTATGAATGAGTGGGATACAACCACATAGAATATATAGTAGTGTTTCCTCTTTAGCTTGGCAAAATCTGCAGATTGTTGTTGAGCTCATGCCTAAGTTTGGCAGGTGTTTCTTCAATTCACAGTGTCTAGTAGTGACCCTCCAAATTGTAAAAACAATATATTGTTTTTACAATTTGCAATGTCCAGTGGCCCTAGTCATGATGCATATATTGATTTTACTCAATTGCAATAGTCTATTGGAGTATTCATTCGAGAGGCCCATTATTAGGGCTTTTTAATTAACTAATCCCGACATATTCTGGCAGTGATGCAGTGGTTACTGTTTGGTTGTTATTTTAGAAAAGACCCAGTTTTAGGCAACGAGACACAGAAGGGTTCAGGGCACTATTGTGCGTATTGTGTATGTAACAGTTTTCAGATTTAAGTCTTGGTGAATTTTGTTATGACACTGCGCTCTCTTTGATTTTATTGTTGTTTTGTCTACGAGCGGCAGCTACCTGTTGATTAATCGTTAGGTTGCACTGTCACTAACATTCTGATAGACTCCGTACACATACAATAATATTTTGCCTGTTTGACTGTGTGCGCCAATCTGTTAGTAATCTTGGGAACTGAAGGGTACAGTTTTCAATCGGTTCAAATTTGTACTAGTCCCCGCCACTTACGTCATTAAACTCAGCTAGATTTAATGATATAAGTCTTTAATGACATAAATGCCTTGTTACATCAATTGTGATATAAAAAATGACACCCATAATGAATCTGCATCACTTGTACACTGCCAAGGACACTGCGACCATACATTGTCCCACTATCTAGATTACAGTTATGATTTGATAACTATCTGAATTATCATGTTCTACATTATATAATAGGTGTATATGTTTTACGGAAAATTATTTGCCGTAAATATATTAACAGAACTAAAGCGTAGAAATCTTTTCAATTTCCATATAATAATAGCTAGAACTATCCATACAGTGTCATCTATCCCAAACTAAGTAGACCTTGTGTTATGGGTACTAGGTTGTCTAGTATAAATACTACGTAAGTAAATATACCTAAATACTCACATTTTTTTTATAAATACATACATAATATACATCGAAAACATACAGACCAATACAACAATCATACTAATAATGAATACAAATGATTGCACCTTTCGAGGAATGGAACCGCGACCATCGGAAGTAAAGCGGTATGCTAAACCGCTAGACTACCAAATGTTTCGTATCATATTAAAAAATATAACACCTTATTTTTCAACTACGACAACGAATATTCTGTAGTCTTGATTAATAACGTCCATTGCCCTCCTTACTCCAATAACATAAAATTACTTAATGAACTTTTGGTCTATATTTACATATAAAATGTGTATATATTATCTTAATAATATTATAAACTCGAAAGCTTGTGAGTATGGATGGATATTTGTTACTTTTTCACGCAAACCGAATTTTAATGAAACTTTACAGTAATATAGCTCATACATCAGCCGTGTTATGTGTGCGTTACTGAATCGACTTAAGATATTCTTCTTGACAAACCTTAGCTATAGTCTCTAGAGAAAACTTTTTTTATACGATGGTGGCAAAGAAGCCATATGACCCATCTTATGGCAAATGGTTACCTCTCGTCTTTGTAGTCTCTCGAGAAAGCTTCGGCAGCTAGTTTATTAAATTCATTGAAATTTGTAATGCTCAGCATAGCTAATAAACGTTTCTAAACATCAACGTTACCTAATATAGAAATCTCAGTGGACAGTTCGCACTTTCCTTAGTAGGAAAACTGTGAATGAACGACATAAATGTATGGAACTGAATACTAATTTGAGAGGAGACAGGGAATTATTAATAATGTGGACTGATGACTCCGTTGCTAACAATGTGCCATGTCACATTGACTTCAACATGGTTCTCCTGGAAACCATCGTGAACCTCTCTACTGGTGTCACGCCAGCGCAACCGTTAGCGCATGCGGGTGCATCATTCTTTTATCATAGGTTCACATCCGTTTTAGGTTCACATCCACGGAGTTCCCCCTGGAAACCATCGTGATAAATTCTAGTCTGACCAATTTTATCATCCTTCTGGCGCCCCGTCATAGTAAACCGTTAGTGTAAGTGTGAGGATTCCATTATCATATATTAAAAGAAATAATGCTAATTGAACACAATTTTTCCAGCATTCTTAGTCTGCGAGAGGCCAGTCATCCTCTTTAACATGCTCTGTACGGAACGACTCGGAGATGACGACCGTGCGGCGCTTCAGCGAGCGGCAGAGTTGGCGCAGAGTTCAGACTTGCAGCTGGCGCTCATTGGTGAATTCTGTTCATGGGACAATGTTCAATGTAAGTAATTGTTTTTATTTATCTTGAAACATGAACAAGCTAACGTTCTGTATTATACATAGTTTAATATAAATATCTAATATTTTATTAACAGAAGTAAATTTTATGAATTGTTTAAATAATATGGTATCCTTCCGCCGAATAACTGAAGTAACATCTTTCTATATTTTTTAGAGTTTATGTAAGCCGTGATACCACCCGTGCATTGGCATTTCAGATGACTAAGACGAAATGTATCATATCTTGTAACTTCACAGCCTAATCGTAACCTACAACCGAAACATAGCTTATAAAACAAGTTGTTTAGCAGCTGATTTAGTCTCTAGAGAAACGCTAGACTGTTAATTGATTATACAATTAGTTGTCTACGTCTCGTTTACCATTCCATTTACATAAACACAAAATTCCATTCGCTCAAAATTCTTAAAAATCTTATTTTGAACAACATTTATTTCATAGAGCAACACCCAAGATTCTTTATCATTCTTCTTGTGATGAATCTGCGTTCCGAATAAGTGGTAGAATAAAAAATATGACTAATCAAAAATGCTTATATTAAGTTTACTTGAATAAAGATTATTTCAATTTATGTAAAATAAAGATGACGGTCAAGTTGGTTGTTGTGGAATGTAACGAAAAGTGTGGAAATGTATGTCATTGAAAATTGTATAAATAATTAATTGCAAAGCAATTAACGCATGCTATCCTTTGAAATGTCTTCGATACATTTAAGTGGGTCATTCGATTTGTACGCCGCAATATTGTAAGATATGATTGTTTTTGACGTTGAACGGTAGATATACGCAAAATGAATAAATCATGGGATCTTACCACGTTTTTTTTGTTGTTTTCCCAATATTTCGGCAGTGTTTTCGACAAGTTAACTCACTATAACCATTTTTATCCAATTAATTGTTTTTAGAAACATAATATTAATCCTTATATAAATAAATACGTTATTTATTATAAGAATTTTTAACAAAATTGTCTTTTACATCGTTCAATTTCAACAAACACTTTAGGAGATAGATTAATTTTAATAAAAAGAGAACCTTACTGACTGCCTGACATATCAGAGCAGTTAACAAATTCTTATAAAAAAATAGCTAAATCAAAATGCATTATTGGGCCCTACAAAGGCGGGACGGTTTGCTAGTATCATACAGATTTTTTTTATCCACAATTATGATGTTTTAACGTCAGAATCATTACAAAAATGCACTTGTCATGTTTCATTATTGTACTCATACAAACATTGTACCTAGATAGCGCCTATTACATAGTTATTAAGCTGTATAATCCTCATTAAGCATGTTATCGCTTTTCTCGTCATGAGTTGTTGCGATGTCGGTTGTAAGTACGTAACTAACATTAAAACGACTTATTTTATTAACATTTATGTAATCCATATTTATGGGTATTTCCTATCTTATTACGCTCCACATATATCCCATGTGGGGTCTAGCAAGAATAGATAAACAAAGATTATACATATAATAAACCGTTTGTTATTATGTATATTATTATAATGTAGACTCTTTGGTAGGCCGACAATTGTACTATGAAAAATAATAATAATACATAATATATTAATAAAACATCACTCGGTTTATATTTATCAGCGTAATTTTGATGCTGATATACATTGTAAAAGGTTATGGGCCCAGGAAGCTTCCACTAAGCGTTACTACAATTCTGAAGTGAATGAAGGTCATTTATGTAAACTAAAAATAAAAAAGGACCAAGAATAGGAGGAACCCCAACCCGAGGAACACCCATTTTAACACTAGAACCTTCGGACCTTACACCATTTATTTCAACAATTTGCATTCTATTATCTAAATAGGATTTCATCAACTTTAGAGCTATTTATATCTATTTTAAAATATTTATATCTTTAAAATATTTATTATTAAATTTTATTTGTATATTTAAGATATTTATATCTATTTTAAAAGTATTCTTTCATTGCTCGAATGCAATTGCGAAGATTTTAATCCTTTTATACAATTAAGTTTGTCTAATAATTGGAACATAGCTGGATTTTTTTCTACTTCTTGTTTTCTGGCATTTCTATTGTAAAATCATTTATACATTAAATTTTACTAGATTGTCTTTTTAGTTTATCACAAAATTGGGAGTGACTGTCATGACCGCATTCTGGACGAAATCGCAATCATTTAAAAATACTTATTTCCGATAAGAAATTATTAATAATAAAAATATGCTGACTTAATAAATATTATTTTTTCAGCTATAACTACATACGAGTCGCTACTTAACGAAGATGTTACAACGAGCATAAATACCAAGAATATCAGCCGAAGTTCGATAATGTGTCCAGGACCTGTGGAGAAGACTAGTTTCAACGGGTACTCAGGCGTCATCAAGTCTGGACTCTGCCATTTGGCCATACCACGTGACTGGTCCTGGGGTGGGCCGGCGTCACCATTCTATCCCATATGGGCAGAACTGAACGTCCCGGATTGACAAACGAAGATAATGGACTACGGTAAAAATAATTTAGCTTATTATATACAATCAGTTGTGCTGATTCAATGCCTTGTATTGGTGTTATTACAATTATTCTATTTCAATTGAGGTTAGGCGGCCATCTTTGTATTTCAAATTTGCCGCCATTTTCAAACTTCGTCACAATGAATGATTCCATCGTGTGTCTTAATTATTATATCCTTCGTTTAGTGTTTGTGATATTTAATTAATGTAACACATTTATTTATTGTTATAAGTAAAAGATCTAAGAGAAATGTAGGTTAATATTTTTTTATTAGCGTTCTTATCAAGTAATAGAAATGTATGGACGTTTACAGTCGATACTAACATAATTTACTCTAAAATATTCTTCATTACATATTGTAATTTATTGTTGACAATTGTATAGGTATTTCACGCTCGTAATAATCCTAACATTGTACTATTGTTCTACAAATAATTTATGCATATGCTAAGTACTTACTTATAAGTATTAAATATGTGCTTACCTAAATGATAATAAACCTAAATATGTTTAAATAGATTTTGAATGGATTTGATTACGTGGATTATCATGTACAGATTAACAATTATTTATGAGAAACTTAGTACTGTTTAGATTATTATTTTTAATAATACCGCGTATTATATACTTATTAAAAACTTATCTTCCCGTTGATAACTTTAAAGCAGCCAAATTTTTAATAAGTACTAAAGTCTAGCTACGGTGTACCTAGGTATCATTAATTAGGTAGCTACATAACAAGCCCCTCACTCACTTCAGCCCCACTATTTATATTAAAACATACTGTTTCGTATCTATTTATATATCATCAGAGAGAACATTTCCACTGCAACGATGCACACGGAAGAGACCGTTAGACGACGCCGGATATGTTAATCATAATATAATATAAATCCTGTATTAATATGCATAAAACATGAATAGCGAGCTTCACCAACGGTCTCACTGTAAAGCTGCAAGTCTAAACAGGGCAAATTGCTTGGCGCCCATGACCTATTTTGGGGTCACGGATAGTCCAATAATAGTCAATTGTGACCCCAACGGTGGGTCACGGAAAGTGAGTCTGTTGAACAGTGAATACATATTAATTTGTGCGTACATAAATGCATTATTTAAAAAAAAAACTGAGTGTGTATTGTTTTTTTTAACATTTCAAACATGAAAGCGGACTGTATGTTTTAGAATCCTGTGCCTATGCATATGACAAATTAAAAAAAAATTGACAGTTTACGACATCCAATGTCAATTTTTTTTTTTATATTTGACCTTCCAAATTTAAATTGGGAAAAGCGTTGAAAAAAATATATGTATATAGGATATATCATGCATTTTGTTTTGTTTTCATAAATAATTAAAGATTTATAATGTTTTTATTTTATATTTAGTAAAATTATTGTCTATTTTATGAGTTTATCAATTTTTGTGATAAATCGTTTAGATCTCTACAAATATGATGGTAAATATTTCGTGTTTTCACTTTTTTTATGTAGTATACTAGATAGATCATTGTTTGTAGAACTTAATTTGATGCCGTCATGTCCTTGTGACCTTACTTGCGTCCCATAATCGGAAATTGTAATGTAATTTTAATCTACTTGTACATATATTTTGTTACAATTGTTTTTTTTTTAATTCTAGAAACAATATTATTTATACGTCTAATGTTACCAGTCTGGTGTTCGGTAGTATTTCTAGTAGTTACTTGTTTTTTTAGAACATCACACGTTTTATAAACATGTTTTGTCTCTTTCAAGCAAATTGTATTCTTCATTTGAAAGGAAGTGACAAAAGATTGTAGTAGTGAAAAATATGTTTGTAGGATGTTTTAGTTTTTATAATAATTAGTTACGGTTAGTCGCAAAAGGTGTATACTAAGATAAAAGCCAATAATACTATTCATGAAAGAAAGAAGTAATTTGAGAGATAGAAAATTATATTTATAATCTTCATACGAACTGTACAATATATGTATAATTAGCATGAATTTAAAAAAAATATATATTCACTTTATTACATGGGCATAGTAGTTTATTTTTTTTAAAGTTTCTTCGTAATGGTAGATTATAGTAGTTGTTATATTACTGGTATGACCTTTACGACTTGTCTGTACATTAACCAAAACGAAAATTTTAATTTATTATATCTATATACTTGAAGAACATTCTGGATATTTAAAATGATTCTAAACATAAAAAATAGTCATTAAAGATTTGCTGGTAATGTTTATGGCGAATTTATGTTTTTAATCTGTTTGTGTTATGCCATTTTTCGAATGATAATTGATTATTTAAAAAATGCTAAATGCTTAGTGTTTGGCGTTTTGAAGTTATTTCACCAAAATCTAGTTTTTACACTATGCATGTTTTAGAAAGAGACCGCAATTACGTTATGTGCTTTTCCTTCTCATTCTGTCATAAAAATAGCTTAAAGTTTCTGATTCCAGTGGCTTCAGGCTGTGCATTGATAGGCTAGTGGATTAGTCAGGACAAGACTTATAAATTACATAGTATATTTAATGATTAAATGAGAATTTTAAAGGTGATAACCATACAAAGATGCTAATACCTAAATATTGATGCTGTAGATAAAAGGAATCAGTGTTTCTATCAATATCACTATACTCTATGTTACATGTATAGGGGTTAATTTGCATAACTTGTGAGACCTTGCGGTTTCACGTGTCGTTTAATTTAAAATAATTATCAGTCACCATTGTCCCCTGACCTTCTAAATTTTGTTTATTTTGATCGTTTCTTAATAAATATATATATATATATATATAATATGATAATAGCGTGTTAAATATACAATAACTCATCACGAATTCTACGCTATCAAATTCAAAATGGGTTTATATTACGAAATATACTGTAGCCTTCGCAAGTTCTAAACATTTACAACAGTTACTTGTCGGTTCCTATTTTATTATTAGTAGTAACTAGCAATCGAAAGTAATAATTGGTATATGAGAACTGGCCAAGTTAGACCTTAGGCTACAGTATATTATCCTAAGTTATAAGAAGAAATGATATTATATATTGTTATAAATACATTTCAGGACATACCATTGAACTTGGCACCCATTTAGATCTCACCTCTTTTGTCGTAGAAGTCAACAATCAAGGCATATATCATAATATTAAACTCGGCTATCATTTCACATTTATGTTTTTGATGGGATATATATATATATATATATTTGAGACATAACATATAATTTGAAACATCCAATTAATCCTGCAAGATTAATTGGATGTTTCGGTGCCTAAAGGTTGTAGCTAATGACTATTTTACCAGTTTTATCTATATGTATATATTTATATATATTACAAGGGCCAGAAAAGGAAACCGAGAGAATAATAGAACGCAGTAATGGCAAAAAAAAACTTAATGATGTACATTAAGTATATTTTTTTCAATTACTGCGTTATTCTCGTTTATTCTTAAACTAAATCAGGCCGGTTAGTATATATTTCGAATACCGAATTGTCACTTTAGTCTATATTATCTCGGTTTCCTTTTTTTAAAATTCTTTTGCACTATAAAGAGTGTACAAGAGGCGAGCTTAATGCCGTATGGCATTCTCTACCAGCTAACCTTTGGGTAGAACTAGAAAGCGTTGTAGGGCAGTAATGGCGACAATTTTGTGATAATAATACTATAATATATAAATAACTAAAGAAAATCTATGTACATATATAATTTATGTTATATAAATATAATATATATTTTAAATATACACATAAATATCCTTTTCTGACCCTAGTAATATAGTCATTATTTTTATTAGTAAAATAGTCATTATCTATAACCACTGAATATTTGTGGTCTCGCATTAGCATGTGAGACCACAAATATTCAGTGCTGAAACCTGACCACCGCTACTAGAAGCGTTACGACCTTTTCTATTGCTGATCAAACTCCGACCGTTATTGACCACCGTTGGCTACCACTTACCATCATTCCAGTTGCATAAAATTGAATGTTACTATGTAATGTACACAGCTTAATAATTTAGGTACGACGAGTCATGCGTAGAGCAATGTGTTAGTAAATGTTGTAATATAATTGAAATTACTTAATATTTTTGTATCACTGTTGATCTCGAGTTGTAATAGAAGATAATTTTTATAATTTAACCATAACTTGTATTTTCTTTCACATTTGTTCGGCTACAGTTATCCGTATGGTTATCATATCTATAACAATATTTACATATATTAAAAATGAGGTTTAACAAATATAGCTCAATATTTTGCTAAGTCAAATAGTTTTTTTTTTATTATTATAGAAAAAGCTACCCGCATTGGTGTACAGGTATATGTATTATATTATACGTATAAACTTTCCTCTAAAATAACTATTGCTAAAAACTGTATTAAAATCCGTTGGGTAGTTTAAAAGTTCCAAGTGAATAGACAGCGGAAGCGAGGTCATTTTATACTACGTAAGTTCAACATGAAAAAATAAAGGACAGAATGTGAGTAAGCAACAACCTTATAGTAATTATTTCAAAGAACATTCTGTTAGGTTAGTAATACAATTATTTTGTGTTATTTTGGTATTATAACTGATGCATTATTTTTTTTTTATATTATAATGTAAAAAGGCGATACATATATAATATTATATTGTTCAAGGTATATAATTATACTATATATTTATTTGTCTTTTTTACTTAGCGATAAATCTTGTTTACATGTACCTATTTCTTTTTTCTGTAAATAATGTACTTTTGAAGTATATTTATGTGCAACATATGTAATAAGCTTATATTAAAAGCGTAAATTGAAATCCAATTCTAACTAATTCTGACCCTAAAGTACATTTTTTACAACTAGTGTTGCACGCAGTTTTATATGCGTATGTATTTTTTTTTAATTATGGTTCTCCAGCTTGTGTTAATGGTATATGCTGGCGGAATACCAGTGAAGGATGATAATATGATACATTACTACTCCGTTGGTCACGACATCACGCGTGAACGGCTGAAACAATATCGATAATTATTTTTTGTTGTGTTAGGAGAAGGTTCTTATGAAAAAAATAATAAGAATAATGTCCGTGTTTTTTTTATGATTTTACCAATGAGAATTCAATATTCATATTTAAGACAGGACATCCATCGGGTCAGCTAGTTAAACATATATATTAAATTCTGGCCACAAATGTGAAAGAAAAATATAAAAGAAATTGTTACGTCCTTCCAAAAATTAGTGGTATTAGGGAACTTAATATAGGTGATTCCAAATAATATTTTTATGGTTTTTTTATTGTGATTCCAATATACACATATGCACCATGTAATTTATCGTGTACATACATTTACTTCGAGGTTTACTCATTTTGTGATATGAAATTATTGTTTTGTGTGTTTCAGATTAAACATACTGTATTTAGTCTCTCGTTTTGTAATTACTTTGGTATTATATACTATATTATGGTCGGAATGGGCAGGTATTTTGTCAACCATTTTCATTATAGTGAAACTCTTTCCCATGATGCATTGCTTTTAAGCAAAGGCTGTGAGATACTGTGTACTGAAACAAAGATAAATCTTTATTTAAAAAATATATACATCTTGCTGATCTTGTTATATAGACACTAGCAAATAACTTGAGCATTATCTACCAATATTTAGTCGTCCACTGCGCAAACTCCATTATCTAGTTTTGTTCAAGTTATTTGCAGCAAAATGTATAGTGATCTATATAATCTATATATTTTTTTTATGGATGATAATGGAATGGTGCACCCGCCTGCGCCAACGGTTTTAATTTTATTTTATTAATAATGGCAACACTGGGTCTAAAATATAATATATGAATAAAGATATTAATTATTGCCACTGTCAAAACTTGTGACATGCCAGCCCGTTCTGATTGTAATTGATTAATATATTTTCAATTGTTATATTTCTTAGTGTAAATTATTATTGGTGAATTTTAAATAAATCAAATGAATATTTAAACGTTTTTAATTTTAGACTATAGTCATCTGATTTTTATCTAATGATTTATGATTTAATAATAATAATGATACTCATGGACAATTCACACAACGCCATCTAATCCCAAGGTAAGCAGAGCTTGTATTATGAGTACTAGACAAATAATATAAATACATAAATATGTTTTTTCTGTAAATACATAGAAAACACCCAGCTGGATACAAACAATCATACTAACATGAATACAATTGTTTGTAACGTGCGAGGCATCGAACACGCGACTATCGTAAGTAAAGCTATGTGCTAAATGACTTGAGGGTATTGATAATGATGATCATTAACAACCTTAAATAGGAAGGCGATTGTTAGTAATGTAGAGTAATAATATATTGCTAGTTCCCCCTGGAAACCATTATTATTTATTATTACGTTAAATTCCTGGTGAATTTGCCACAATGGGGTAATTCACCTGACCTCATGCTCATCATATCATTCTCCACTGGCGCTGTTCGTAAACCGTAAAACGCAGGAGGGTGCACTATTCCATTAGAAAAAAATATCCTAAATAACCTAAAAAGTTGCAGTAGAAAATTATTATGAAACAGATAGTCGATAATTCAGCGAATTATGCATATTCGATACCGTTATAATCTATCCTTTAAAAGTTACTCAACTCTAACTGTTGCACAAATATACATATTAATTCGAAGAATGATAGAGAATGTGTTTATTTCGGTCAAAGGTGAGATAAGGTAAAATTTATCGTATATGGAGTAACGAGATCTGAGTTCTACTTCTACAACAACGTCGATGCTCGTCGATGCTATTCATATATAGACGTGACGTTTACCTTTTACCAACAAGTAGGTCGTCAGCTTGTTCATCATTCAAATTTCATAGAAAGGGATAGAAATAAATTAAAAAATAAAAAATAAAATCCATTCCACGTATAACCTCTTTAATGTTTTTATTTCTGACAGAATATTTAATTTAGAAAAAAAAAACTTTATATCAATACTACAAATAGGTATCGCCTGAGTTCATAGGAACTATATTGATCCTGTTTCTATAATTTTGTACTATAACACTTCTATGGTGAATCAAATTACTAATTTAGTATCTAATAGATTTTTTCTCTTAGGTAAGTACCACATTGCTATTTCTAACAAGAAAGAAAATCTCATTCAGTGGTCTATGTACTTAATCTAATATTACAATAGCATATGCTGGTGTTCACTCTCCCTTATATTGAATTTAAAAATGAATCTGTATTTTTATTAACATATACAAGCACATTTCAAAAGAATAAGAGCAGAGTTTCATGTCAGTTCTTCTGCTCTCCGTACTCATAGTAGTTTTTGACATATCATAAGAGTCTGTAATAGACCTGAATAAAGACTTTTTGATTTGATTTAATGTCAAATATACAACAAGCAAAAACCATTACTGTAGGTATTTTTTTATTGATGATAATGGAATGGCACTCACGCTTGATTTAACGGTTTACGCTGGCGAGGCACCAGTGTACGATGAAAAAACACGAGTTCGAGTTCACCAGGAATTTATCTAGATGATGGTAGATAGAGCTAAAGGCGTGGAGGTCAAGCTGACATGGTACATTGCTAGTAGTGGGTTAGTCCACATTACTAACAATTCCATTCCTACTGTAGGAAGGAAAATCGAAGGATTGTCCAAAATGTCGGATGTCAAATCCAAAGCAGAGTCGATGCTATTCGATGATGGATCTACATACAGAACATGTTACAAACTACCAGTTATCAAGGAGTCTGCTCCTACCACGTACCATGCGAAGGTGACTCCTGAGCTACCGAGGTGGCCGCCTCTCAAAGACGTTCAAACGATGAGCGATTGGAAAGCAACCCCAGTACCGTTTCACTTGCTCCACAAACCACGGGATATGTCAACTACTGATATGGGAAATGTGGAGAAAGTTTTTGTAAGTACTATTACGTTTTTACTCGACGGCTTTCGTGGTCTATAAGTTTAGTAGATCGCCTTACTTTCGACGGTCGCGGGCTCGTTTCCTCACACGATGCAAATATTTGTATTCATGATTGACAGTTTGTATCGGTCTGGGTGTTTGGTATGTATTTACAAAAAAAATCCAAGTATTCTATCAGTTGTTTGGTACCTATAACACAAGTACTGCTTAGCATATGACTATATAATACTGTGTGAATCGCCCAGGACTGTTATTATTATTATAATAATATACTAAACATGAGGGTAGGTACTGCGTAGTCAGTTTTTTTGTGTTAAGTAAAAAATCAATTGTACCTATATACATAGAATAGAACAGAAAATTCTTAATTCAAAGCACTTCTTAATAGTCATATTTATTTTTTTTAATCTGCGGATCATTCGAAAGCTTATCAAAAGAAGAATGAGCAAGAAACTTTTTATATTGCACTTTTAAAAAAATGTTTTTTGTTTACATGTTTAAGTTGAAATATATAAATACAAACTATTAGCTAGCATTAATTCCTTCATATACTTAAAAATAAAGGAGAAACCAAAAGACTTGGGCCGAGAACATGCCCAGAAGACGAGGCCACGTCTCGTCATGACACCCGCTGTCAGTATGGACGACGTTGACGACGCTCGTGCAAGAGAAATCCTGTGCACGGATATGTATACGACTGCAACTAGCAAAGCATGGAGGGACACGGTGACGGACTATGTTAGTGTCAGAGCACCTTTAACTCGCATCCCTGCACCTGCTAATCCTGTAAGTAACCTTATCACAAAGTTCACCACTCGCCATCAACAGGTTTTCTATTACCACTTGCTAGAACCTAAGTGGTCTTGAACAGTGCTGTTTCAGAGGATCTTCCTCCCGTATATACTTAGATTGTGGAATGAATTACCTGTGAGCTTTTCTCGAGAAACAACAGCATGGGGTTTCTTAAGGTTTCTTAAGAGTTGAAAACACACACAATACACCCCTGAAGTTTCAGGCGTTTACCGTAGCCTATGGATGCTACGGTAACCACTTACCCTCAGATGATCGTGTGCCTGCCACCATCGTAGTATAAAAAAAAGTTAATTTAAATAACATCCCGATCATTTGGATGAATGGCGGTCCGGTACCGTGCATTTTTCCAGAAACGTTTTGCCACGTACAACCACATTGTGGAATCACTTTCCAGCAATAACCGATACAATATTAAGCTTGTTAAAATATAATCTGTGTATAATTTTCTGATCGATATTTTGGCTTCCAACAATTTGTACTATCTATATACATGAATTAAAAACTTTGTAAAAACTTTGTAGTAATGTGGACTCTATTACGAATTACTCGTGATAAATTCAGATGGAGAAGTAAAAATTATCCCCCACTGCCCCGCCACACTTATAGTTAAAAAAATACATAGAAGGAAAAAATGTACATTTTACATAGAATGCTAAAATTTAAAAAAAAATACATTAATTCAATAAAAATATATTACACTACGAATTTGATACACACAAGTATAGTCTTTGACAATAGAACTCTATTTATATATATATAATAAATTTTCATATAATAAAATAACAATACATACATGGATTCTGTTCAAAGAATGTAGCAATTTCTTTAATAATGTTCAAACTTATAATTTAAATTAATTAGGTATTGTTGAATTTCGACCATTGGGCGATCACTAGTTTTCATAAATGTATATTGAAATTACAATAATTATTTAAATATATATTTAAATAATAGATACAGTTGCCAGCATACCGTCCCCCGTATGTCCCTCTGGAATGGAGAATGGAGTCAGTAACGTGGGACAAGAAACAACTGAGGAGCTACTGTGACCCCACCAGGGAATTCTGGCTGGCAAAGGGCCCATCAAAGTAAGTCTTAGTCGAAAAGATGGGGAAAATGTGAAGAGGGAAAGTCACTGGTCTGTAATCTGTTCTATTGCTTTTTGAGTTTTTTTGATAATGGAATCGTGCCTGCGCTAGCGATTTATGCTGGCGGGGTACCAGTGGGGGATGATAAGGTTGAAGACAGGTCAGTTCACCCAACATGGAAATATCACTATGAACTTATCACGACGTTTCCAGGGGAAACCATGTGGAAGTCAACCTGACATGGTACTGGTGGTATTGCTAGCCATAGAGGTATTAATCCACATTTCATCATTTTTCTGGGGTAATAATAATAACTATATGTTTTAATACTTGTTTTTTAGATGCAGACCTTGTGACGAATCCGCCGCTGCTCACAGAAAAATGAAATATTAGGAAACGCTATTTAACTCTGCATAATATTTTCTAATATTTAATTTAAATTAATAATTATTAAGATAAACATACATAAGTTTTTGATAGAATTATGAATACGATGTTTAGAGTTATAAAAGGATATTAAATATTTAATTAAAATTACTTTTTCATGTAATTATTTTATGTATAAACTCGTAGTGTGTACTAAATAGGGTCCCCTCGTTCTTACGTACTATGAAAAGTTGTTATTGGCAGTTGCGTTATAAAATATTTGATACCTATTGATCAGAATAATTTGGTCAGAAATCCTAACTGATAAAACAATATCTGAGGTAAATTGCTATATGTAGGAGAGTACAGTACAGTTATTACTTAACGTTTTAGTGAAAACTGCACCCAAAACGGTCGGCCCAAACAGTTTCTATTGGTACGTAGTACGTACAAATGTATAAACAACTACAAGCAGACAATAATTCTAATAGTAATTGTTTTGGAGTTTTATGTAATTATGTTAAATCTATAACGATGAATTCCTTCAATCTCATATATCTTAGCGATAAGACCGCCTTTTGTATCAGTTTATGTATTATATCATTTTGTGTGTTTTCTTTGTCTGGTGCAATAAAGAGTGTAAATAAATAAAATAAATATCTTGCAGGTACAGAAAGTGCCCGTACACACACAACCTCTAGTCTTATGTATATATAAAAATAATAATTTTTATTGACACCATTTTAATATATAAAATGAAATGACGTTTGTTAGTCCCGCATGAACTCGAGAATGGCTGGACCGATTCGGGTAATTTTGATTTTAAATTGTTTGTTCTTCATATTTTCTCAACATTTAAATCCATAGAAGGTTTAAATTGTGAGAAAATATGAAGAAATTGTATGGAAAATAGTAAAAATAACAATTTTATTTCTGATGCAAACTGTTCGTAGGAACAGGGTGCGTTCAGGTATTGCGTATCTAAACTTCAAAAAACTTTTGACATATTTAATTTTAAGGGGGAATGGAATTCCCAGTAGCAGTAACAAGTCAGCTAGTTTTTAATAAGTGTATAGAAAAAGCTACGTACTTACAGCTATGATTTTTTTGACAGTACAATAAAATGTCAGAAATACCAATTTGATTATATTTCGAAGTGATATTCATACAATATTATTTTGGAGATTTTATTTTTATCCGATTTTTAATTAATAGAACTTAAACTTGGTCAGTTAATACTTATGTCCAACATGAAGCAATTACAAACTATGCTCTTCAACTATGAGACTACAATGAGAACCGATTTCCGGTATGGTGAAATAACGCCTTTAACCACAACTAAATACAAAGAAAAACCATCTTGCGTTAGGATTCGACCTAAACCTTTAAAAGACATACATACTTTAGTAGATTGGAAAGTACCAAATGTTCCCTTTGAATTGATGACAGGACGAAAAGAGGTAGTACGGACAAATCCCCGAGAAAAGCAAGTACCGTACGTAAGTACAATATATTTTTATAAACTGAATTTATATAGTGAAACCAATTGAAGTAGATATGTATATGTACTTTGAGTCCTCAGTGGTAGAGCGGTTTAGTATATTGCTACATTTTCGGATGGTGGCGGGTTCGAACCCTTTTAACTATCTGTATCTGATAGCATTGGTGTGGATATTTGTACATTATGTACAAACTATATGTATTTAAACAATTTCTAGTTAATATAAATTCTACTGTGAGGTAAAAGGGGGATTGGTAATAATGTGAACTGATCCCATTGCTAGAAATGTAGCGGTTCCCTCTGGAAACCATCGTAATAAATTCTTGGTGAACTTGTCACGATGGGCTAACTGACCTGATCTCATGTTTATCTTGTTATCCACTACTGGCGTTCAGCCAACGTACGCCGTTACTCACAGACAGGTGAACTCTATTATAGTATATATAATATATTTCTTCCGTTATAAAATCTGTTATATTTATTTACATTTTGACATTCAACCTACTTTAAAATAAACGAGGTTTGTAGTTCGACTATATTAGTCATTTTGACCAAACTCGAATAGAATAGATATAAAAATATAGGTCAAATTCGGTAGGTATATGTACTTGCCTCTTCCTTACTATATGTTTTCAATTTAGAAAACACTACCAGATTTGGAATTCGAGGATGTAAAGAGGAGTAGACCACGTCTTGTTATGACGCCCGCTGCCAGTGTCGACGACGCTGATGATGTGTTAGTTCTTATTAGTCGTACCTTTGCTTCATTTCTTCTATTGTTACCAGCAACTTCATATGCTTCTTTTGACATAAAAAAGCCTTTGTCCGACCTTGAGATATAATTTATCCTTACGTCACATTTCATTAAGGTCTGTCAGCCATGAAAATGTAAAAAAGTATACGAACGCACTTTGAAAATGTTGAAATATTATTAATTTTTCAGTACGTAAATTCACAAGCATTTTCTATTTGTTTCAGTAGCGAGTTATACTTATATAGACTAACTCGCGAATACGTCCGCGTGGATTTAAAATAAATAAACTTTCTAAGATAAAAGTAGCCTAAGTTACTCGTTATGACATTAGTTATCTACGATTGAAAGTCCCGTCAAAATCCGATCAGCCGTTTCAGATATTAGCAAGAATAAATAGACAGACAAAGATTTTTAATACTATTTTTAAGTAGGTATATACTTTCACATGTGTTTTGTGAAAAGCTGTTAATTTATAATTACAAATAAAAGCTTCATTTTATTTTATTTGTAGAGATATGTTATATATTCTCAATAAACTACCAATAAAACAATTTGATAGTAAAATAGAATATGATGAATGATGACGTAATATCACTGGCGCTGTTGATTTATATAGGCAACGGTTACCATTAACCGCCAAGTACACCGTCATTCGACTTGATTACCATTCCAGTTAATTAAAAAACTTATATACCTTGATGATTTACGTTTCACATACATAAAAAAATTTTGGTATGTTGGTTCAGGACCCGCAAGCGGCTCCTGGACGACGTGTATCTGACCAGCACGATGAAAGCCCAGCGCGAGGTCGTCTCAAATACCTCGTACAACTGTGTACGAGCTCCATTGCCAACTTCTCCTGCAAACGCTAATCCTGTTAGTTTTAATACATACTAGTGGCTTTCTCTGACTTCGCTCGGCATCCATAACTTTGTCAGTTTTGTAAATGTTAAAATAGTCTATAATGTTTCAAACAGTGAAAGAGGGGAATTGTTAGTAATGGGGAATGGTAGCCTCATTGCTATCATACCCTATCAGGTCGACCTCCACGCGGTGGCCCCTGAAAAGCATCGTAGTTAATTTCTGCTGGCAAAGGGTCAAGTTCCTAGTTTTTGACAAGCATATAAAAATAATCAAAGCTTTCCTTTTTATAATATTAGTATAGATAGGTGAATTCGTCCGCGTGAAATTTGACTTGTTTTTATTAAAATAATTCAAATATGTAAAATAAAAGTAGCCTAAGTTACCCCTTATACAGTAACTATTTACGAGTGATAGTTCCATCAAAATCGGTATAGCCCTTTTAGATATTAGATTGTTTTTGACGAGCACGGCAAACAAAAACAATATTTTTTTTGTGTAAGTACCTACTGTGTATAATTTCCTAAGCTTCAATACTTATTATTTATTTATATAGGGTATTTAAAGTGTAAGCTAAAAACGAAATTTTATCTATTCTTTCGCTAGATAACAATACAGAAATGGTCACCGCCGTATGTATCGCCCGAGTGGCGGATGGATTCTGTGACGTGGGACAGAAGACAGTTAAGAACGTATTGCAACCCCGACAAGGAGTTTTGGTTAACAAGAACACCACAGTAGGTGACTCATTTATAACTGCTGACCTGCGCAACTGTGTCTGCATCACACTTACTTGACTTTCATCATTATATTTACTACTAGCTGTACCCGCGACTTCCTCCGCGTGGAATTATACTTTATTTTTCTAAAATAAAATAATCTATCTAAAGTAAATGTAGCCTAAGTTACTACTTATTAATTATCTACCTGCCAAAAAAAGTCCCGTCAAAATCGGCCCAGCCATTTCAGAGATTAGCTGGAACAAACAGACAGACCGTATGTACAGTATTTATGTTCATATGCATGCAGTAAAAAACGGTTATTTCAATATTATAAACAGACACTCCAATTTTAATTATATGTATAGATTTATGATAATATAATGGGGCTGATTACAAGCTGTGGTTTTGTTACATGTGTCCTCGCGTATGTCTCTGGGCAGTGCCTGAATATCAGTGATTTGCTGTTTGTATGCAGTAAACAATACACTGAGGTGCTGCCGTTTTGCGTATGGTCTATGCACACATACTACTTTACTCATATTTTTTTTTGTTAACTGTATTGCATTTAATCTTATATATAAAATTATCATGTCACAGTTTTCGTTCCCATACTTCTCCGAAACGGCTTGACCGATTCTTATGAAATTTTGTGAGCGTATTGAGTAGGTCTGAGAATCGGCCAACATCTATTTTTCATCCCCCTAAATGTTAGGGGTAGTCCACCCCTAAATTATTTTGTATTTTTTAGACAAAATTTTTAGTTTCTATTTTTTTATGATACAACATACAGAAATACTTACAATCCTAAATTTTCACCCTTCTATCATCAACCCCTATTTTTTTATAGCGTTATTAATTTATATGGCAAAACAACATTTGCCGGGATAGCTAATTTTATCTATATAATTGTTGTGTATTGTATTTTGTTTGACTTGACTTATGTAATTGCATATGTTTTTATTTTTGTTCTTATTATTACAGTGCCTTGTGTGTGTGTGCCTTTAACGTGAATAAAATTGTTATCTATCTATATTTCGCCCAATTTACTATATATCTCTTTGAATTATAGTCTATTTGTTATTCTGACGTATAAGCTATATTACTGTAAAGTTACTGCAAAAATAAAAGGTCCAATTCCATCTTCTTATCGTTTCGTATTATTTAAAATTACAGTAAAACTAGTCACAAGTAATGACAATGACATCTTCTGAGTTGTATCAGTTGAATGTTACTGTATGAGTGGTATCACGGGTGTGACATGATAACGTGATGTCCTTAGTGCTGTTCATGTACATAAGTGACATAGATAAGCCGGCATGCGGCAGCTTGTTTGTCATACTAATTATACAGAAACATATTCTTATATATAAAATTCTCGTGTCACAGTTTTCGTTCCCATACTCCTCCGAAACGGCTTGACCGATTCTCATCAAATTTTGTGAGCGTATTGAGTAGGTCTGAGAATCAACATCTATTTTTCATCCCCTAAATGTTATAGTCAAAAGTTTTTTTTTTTATTTTAAGGCAAAACAACGTTTGCCGGGACAGCTAGTAGTAATAAATTTCATAAATTCATATTTATGTTCACAGATGTCAAGAATGCAAAGATACAGCGGTACGCGAGCAGAGGAGAAAAATACAAAGATAATACAGCCATCCAAATTATACATATATTGTAATTCAAATTATCCAAAACATTTATTGTCAAACATAACATTAACACCGTATGCATACGTGGTACAATATTTTTAATAAATGTAGCCAAATGAAAATCAGTATTAATAAATATCAATATTATACATAGACAATTTTTGCATAAAAAAAAATTATAAAGAACGCTTGTTTTGTGATGTCTCAAGTAGTTTCATATAAAATCACTTGTTACATCTTATATTACATTGTAAAACAGAAGTTTTAATTGTTTCTTTAATTAGTTATAGATCAAAAGCTTAACAGCTACAATTTCAAACATTTACTTGTCCGATCACTACCATAAGAATTTAGATAGAGAGTTAATCAATGTTTCATTTACATTATTGTAAAGTATACAGTGTGTAACAGAAAGGGTAAAAGAAACAGAAATCAGCGATAATTATAATATTTTATACATATACAAACCAAAATAATAAAGTGATTTTTATTTAATGTTATTAGAATGGTTAACAAACTGACGACCTGATGGTAAGTGGTAACTATCGCCTATATACATGAACAGTACCACGAAATAAAGTTCTGTAATTTCACTGATTTATCTCTCCTTACAAAGCAAGCTATTGGCGGCTGAAATAGGCGAGACTGGGGTACCTCAGTCTAGCCTATTTCAGCCATTATGTTTACAAATGCAGATAAATGAAAGAGATAGGCATATCGTGTGAACGGGATGGAAGGGTTAATAGAAAGCTGATCAATTACATTTTCCTATACAATCAATTAAAAAGAAATTAAATTTTATTAATTTTTATTTATTCAACACAATGGTAGACAGAATAACAGCATAGGCACAAATAATTTTACAAACAACATCTTAATATTAAATATCACCGAAAAAAAAATGTAAACTTGCAACTTCATAAAGAATATGTTATATCTAAAACTTATAACTATATACGGGAAATATAAATGAACTTATATTTAAAAATATAGTTAATTCATATGCTGTAGAAATAGGAGCGAGATGTGTACAAGAAAAATCTCTTCATAACCGTTTGAAAGACCTAGCTTGGCTAAGTTCTATAGTAGAACGAGTAACCAAGCCTGTAATAACGGGTTCATACCAGATGAGCCTAGGCAGGGAGACATGAACAGTGAAGCTGAGTGTTGATGTGGAAACGGGCCTCTAAAACCTGTGTTACAAATTTCGGCATCTGCTTGGAGTTTCTTTCCCTGCCACAAGTTGGATCCGGCCAAAAAACCATAGAATGTTAAAAAGTTTAGGAAGTTCGTTTCTCTCTGTCTTTCTGTCTGCGCTTCGTCTCACAGTGACTGAGGCGAACGAATGAAATGCTAAAAGTTTTTTTACATTTTATTCGTGAGCAAGGATCCCGAATTATCATTTCATTCAATTCCCGTTATATAATTATAAATATATTCATAAAAAATTACAACTAATTATAATTTTATAATTTGGAATATAATATTTACTAATTTTTATTTCACATTTTATAATTTAAACCCAAACCAATAGTATTTTTTTTATAATATCTTTAGAGAATAATCATAAAGCAGATCGTTAACACTAAAATCATTGGTAATATCAGAGCAGTTGTGGTGGGGATACAATTCTCTCTGCACACTATGACAAATCGATCACAATTTAGCTACACACGAGGTGATCTAGGAAGCCATTCAAGACGCTCCTCAATACATCGTGCCACCAAGAAGCGGGACATCATAGACTATATACGGACCAGGAGTAACCTAACATTGAGGGTGACGCAGCTGGAGTCGAGTCACAACGCGAGTTTCAAGTCGTTTATAGCCCGGGTCCCCACCAACACGCGAAGGAGATGGTGTATCGGCTTTACCGTGGCAAATTGCCGTCGTCAGTGCCGTGACAATACAGACAATTTATATTTATTTTTTATTATTAGTTCATATGTATATGGGCCATGTAACCTGAATTAAATAAATAAATACTGCTCTGATATTCCCCTTATTTTAGTGTCGTGTGTAGACTGCTTAAAGTCAATGAAGCAAGATTAGCTAGCTTCGTAATAGCTTATATATAAACAGCTTTATTCATGCAGCAAGTCTCAGTAGCCGTCAGGATGGCTGGACAAAAGGTTATGGATATTTCAGCAACTCCCAAGTTACTACTAAGATGTAGTAGCTATTTGATACTATTTTGTACCTAATACAATTGTATTTCATCGAATTACGTGTTATTTTGAGGAAATCTACTTCATTACTTAATGGATTTATATTCTTTAGTTTAATTCGGCTCACAGAATGTCACTCTGTCAAACTCTTCCAATAGCTAAGGTCAGAGTTCCGCACTGAATATTTGTGACATCACACATACTAATGGTAGCGGATTTAAACAAAATAATACAAATCTATTAAGTCAACTAACAGCAATTAAGAAATTCGTAACACGAACATTTACAACGTAATCAGTACATATAAATTTTCATTCAGATTTTTTAGCACAACAAAAAATATTCTCTTAGAAGTTATATTTTTTAACTCTATATTGTTTAAAATTAAGAACCAAGAAAGAAGAAGAAACCTTTTATAGTCCAGTCATCATGTATCAAAGGTCATATAACAATTTTTATATAGTCTAACAGCTGACGCTATACTTTTTGGACTTAACACTTCTCCTCTCCATATAAATTACATATAGTATTATTGTAAATATATTAATATGCAGATGTATTGTATGTATCGAATATCACATTCAAATCAGTTACTGTAATTAAAGTTAAATTATAATTAAATTGACTATATTTTTATATGTATTCTTAATATATACCAAACCAAAATTTAACTTATGCATGAAAACTAACACTAAATTCTTAAGATAGAAGTATTATCGGCATGTGACGATGCACAGCATCTGTGAGAGTGCGCCCATAGTACTTCCCTTCTAATCTACCAATAGTAAGAACTTCCGGTTTTGTTTAGCGACTTCCGGTTCCGTTTAAGAACTTCCGTTTCCGTTTAGCGACTTCCGGTACTAATTATTTGCTGTCTTAGGAGGTGTGTCGACCAACGACCACCAAGCCTCATAGCGTCGTTACTTCCCGAACAGTGAACATCTAATTTTATCTTAGTTTGCTAACGAAATAGTTGCAAAATTTATAATTAGTTTAATACTTAAATCTAAAGTGTGATCATGAGTAATAGTGAAGTGAATAACGAAGAAGCTCCGCTACACCGCGCATCGAGCCCGGCCTCAGCTCCGGCATCCGGCAGTGGCGGTACCCGGCGCCGACATACCTGCAGTAGCGACTCTGCTTCCGCTTCATCGGATTCCTCAGACCACCAGGTAAAAAGAAAAAGACAAGGTGAGTCAGATTTTGATATACAGAATCTTATGTACAGAGTTAATGCATTGACAAATATTTTATTGCAAAATTCATGTCTACCGTCTTTTCAAACGGAAGAAATTCAGAATATGCCTAGCAATTGTACAGCGGCACATACAGTGGCGATTAACGCACCGGCCGCGGCGTCCACGGACACTATCCGTGACCCACCATCGAGACCCACCACAATGGTGTCCTCCGATTTTTCTTTACGGCGCCCAACGGCTGCTGTACCAAATGAAACGCGGTTGTTAAATCTTGGCCAAGTTAATACAACCTCTAAAGACCCTAAAGTACCCCGGGCGGACCCCGAGCACTTAAAGCGGTTAGAATTGCTGCAAAAATTCGGTGATCCATCTTGGAAAGAGGTTCGATATACTGACGCCTTGAAAATACATTGTGCCACCCCTGGTTTTGTTGAGTTGGATATAAATGATGAACTGAGACAATTCCAAAAAGGCAATGACTATTCAGCTAAATCCGAAAAAATTGTAGCTGCTATTTGTAATGGATTGTTGACACAGCGTGATCTATTGAATCAAAGCCTGCAACAACTGGTTGACTGGGCGGCAGCCCCTGATACAACTCTGTCTGCTGGAAATATTTTTGATAAAATTTCAGAATTATTTCAACCTAATTCTAAATTTCATAAAGTAAGCGAAGAAATTATGCAAATAGTTTGCGGTAAGCGGGCAGAATGTATCGAAACTCGCCGGGAGCGTATCCTGGGTGAGCTGCCAAACAAGAACTTACGTGAGGGTCTCCGTAAGATACCTCCAAGTTCTGCGTACCTTTTTAATGAAACTCACCTGCATGCTTACATTGCAAACACAGGTGGGATGGATAAATGGGTTCGACCATGGTTTGACTCGGGAAAAGAGCTCCATAAACCAAATACTAAACCTTGTTATAAGCATAGTAAACCTGGTCCGTCACGTGAGGCTAGTCAGTCCTTTCGTAATCAAGAGCACGCATCAAATTCAAGGAAGAACAAAAACTTTACCTATCGTCCAGAGCAGAAAAGATCGAAGAAAGTCTATCATCGAAAGGACAGCCTACCCGGCAAAAAGAAATTCGATAAATGACTCGCAACTCACACAACCCAGGTTTTACGGAGGCTGTCTTCGAGCGTATCGGAGGCAGTGGCAGGCGCTTCGGGCTCCGGAGGCCCTTCTCGGAATGATCTCGGGAATGCGTCTACCATTTACCTCCAAACCACTACTTGTCCATCCATTGGCGAAAACCCTAAATCGCTTCAGAACAACCCAGTCTCCAGATATGTCGGATCAGATAAAGATCCTGTTGCAACAAGGTGTCCTGGAAATTCCAGACCAACAGGATCTGGGCCCCAGTTTCTTCTCAACAATGTTCTTGACAAGGAAGAACGATGGGACTCACAGACCTATTTTCAACCTAAAGCGCTTGAACCAGTACATACTACCAAAGCCTTTCAAATTGATTTCACAATTTCTAATACCACAGTTCCTGCAGAAAAACGATTGGATGGTAAAGCTGGACCTTTCATCAGCCTACTTTCATCTACCCATTGCCAAGACCCACCGAAAATTTCTCAGATTAATTTACGGTCAACAGATACTCCAAATGACCTGTCTACCCTTTGGCCTTTCATGCGCCCCGAAAAATTTTGCGGCGCTAACCAACTGGATCGCACAGTATCTTCGGAACCAAGGCATGCGTGTAATTGTCTACTTAGACGATTTTCTTATAGTAAGTCAGTCACGGCTGTTACTCAAAGATCAGGTGAGAGCTGCTATAAAAATTCTAGAACAGCTGGGGTGGACGATAAACTACGAAAAATCAGTAATGATACCTACACAAGTGATAGAGTATCTGGGACTACGGTGGGATACGAACAACAACCTGAAATGCTTACCGGAGAAAAAAGCTGCGAGGATAATCGCAATCGCGACAAAAATAATGCGCAAAGGAGCAATGACACTGAAGGAAGCACAAGTGATAATGGGTACCCTAAACTTTGCAAATTTTGTCATACCCAGGGGCAGACTGCACTCCAGACAGCTTCAGCTATATGCACGGAGTTTGTCGAAAATATCTGCTCCGACCCAATTGATCATCCCAGCATTAGTACAAGAAGAGCTAACATGGTGGATAAAGACGTTAACAGACTGCAAGGTATCCAGCGATCTACATCCAAGGGCAGTACAACACTTCTTGACCACAGATGCTGCGGATTACGGTTGGGGAGCACAAATGGACGATCTAATGGTGTCAGGCAGGTGGACTTCCAATCAAAGGATTTGGCACTGCAATTGCAAAGA